ACGTAAAAATTCTCTAATTAGTCTGGAAACGGGGGACCTAATTCTTGCATTCTGTGAAAACGGGTAAGATTAGCTATAATGTAATTATCTTAATCTTCACTATCGTTACTTTTTGCCCAGCGAAGCGGGTCCTTGCAGCTAGATTCTAGATTACTTAGAAAAACAGTCTTTTATATATATAAAAAAAACTATATTACATACAAATAAAAACCCAGCAAAGCAGGTCCTTGCAGCTAGTTCTTAATATAAATGCTCATAAAATACATTTCATAAAATGCCTGCCAGGTGTTTAACAAGTTTTCTGCATCTCTATGATTGATGCATTATGATTTTTCATGCAACTTTCTATATACATTCCAAATAATTCAAAAAGCTTGTTACTGAAGATCAGTAAAATCTAATTGAAAACGTTTTTATTTCAATAAATTTGTAACTGGATTTATCAAGGTTTAGTTTATTTGTTTATTTTGGACAATCCAGTTTTTCCACCTGCTTAAATTTGAATATATTATTATAATCAATTATATATAATTACAATATACATTACCAACACAATAGAAACTGAATACTACATTCATACAATATCAATATTTTAACATCAATCAAGATTTTTCAGAATTTCTCTTTTTGTAGCTATTAACATAAATGATTTTAAATGATTTTGTACCAGACTGTTCCAAAGTCAATTTTTGTTACTGGTAAAAATAATATGCATAATGCAAATCCAATATTCACTTTTATGAAAAGCCTTCAAAACATTATTTAAAAGTATATCTGTATATATTATGTTTATATAAATAGATAAAGATATATGATCAATTATTTAAAAAATGTGTCTTTGAGAATTCGTGTGGCTTACTTGAATAAACTGCTAACTTTATTTAAACATATGCAACAGTCAATGATGATAATACACTTGTTATACTCTCAGATCAATCAAGACGTTACTAATGTCTTCTGTTAATATGATGGTTAAAATTTTTATACAGAAGACATTTTTAACTGATTTCTAAAATTATGCATTTCTTGTACAACTAGGCAGTCCCAAAGTGCACTGACATTTCTAATACCAATTTGCCAATATTGTCAGATGGCCTGTCCAGTCCCAAACTTGTTCCAGTCCATCTAAAATTCTCAAATGACAGTAAAACACTCCAAAAAAAAAAAACTATTTACCTATTTGAAAATAATAGATATGTAAAGGTACTGTCCATTTTATATTATAATATTATTACATAAAAACAAAACAAAAATGAAAATAAACATGTGAAGCTAATTTATGAAACTTGCATATTCTGACAAGTTCAAGCACCATATAACAATAGTTTCTTAAAATTATTTCAGAATATTGATAAACAGCAAATAGAATTAAAAATATGATGTACTTTATTATTTTTATATTATTTATTTTCCTATTTTACACCATGTATTTTTTATATAGATTATAAATAAAAGGGAAAAGATTATTATAAATAAATTTAAATATGCTATAAAGATATTACTTTTGCTTATTACAGTTTGCTTAAACATTTTCATGAAAGATTAAAATTTTTTTAGAAATATCTAAAAACAGTATGTAAATTAAAAAGAAAAATTAATTACGTTTGCTTATAACCTTATATAAAGTATTGAAAAATAAATATTTAGTTTATTTTATTGTTTTTAAAATTTAAATATGTTTTTTAAACTTACTTTATACTCATAAGCATGTAAAAACATCATCAGTTCATCAGGTTTTGGATCTGTATTTATATGCAGACAATTTTTGCATGTAGGATCTCTTGTTAATTTTCTTACATCAAACTGATATACTTTTAATAAATTTAAATATTCTTCTAAATTTATATAATGTGATAATGATGGTAACTGGCTTATTTTTACAGGTTGAGATGCTGAAACATTTTCATCTGTAAAAGTAAAAATTGTTCAATTAAAACATTTTGGTACATTTTATTGCTGTTATTCTAATGAAATTCTATAAATAAAAAAATTTATTCTATAAATCCTATTATTAAATACTTAATTATAGTAAATTTAACCTGTCTTCCTTGAAAATTCAGATGGTTCAGTCTTCCAAAATCTTGATATTCTTTTAAAAACCAAATCTTCAATTAGCTATTCAATTAGTTAAAAATAAGCTAATTAATACTTAAATTCTCTACTTATTTAAAAATAATACAAACAAATTTTGTACAAATTTCAATTATGTTATGCTCAAACAATTTATTACTTCTTTTTTTGATTTTCCATAATTGCAAGCTTTCCCCTTATATGGTCCATACCAATCTGTATTATAAAGTGGATCATTTATTATAGGATGACCTAAATAAAGCAATACAACTTTTTAGAAATATAAACAGAATATAATTAATAAACAATATACAAAAATACTCCACAAATTATCATTTTAAAATAAATGTATTTTATTTTAGAGTTTAAATTTTAGTTTAAAATATTAGAAAATATTGATATTTTTTATCATCTGATTATAAACCAAATATGTAAATGAATATTCACACAATAAAAACATTTATATTACATTAAAATTTAATTATAATGAAGCTCTTATCATTAGATTTATTAGAACTCACACAATAGGGAAAACTACCAAAAACAATCTAGTTCAAAGGTAATGTTTTCAAGACCTAGCTAATATCAAATGAATAAAATAGTTTAGCAGAACACCTTTTTGTCCATTAGTAATGAAGCTTAAATTAGCTTACTATAAATATGCAAACTGATATTCTTTGGTCTGGAAATGATATACTTTCATCAGTTATTATATTTATTTAAACTGAAAAATGTAAAATTAGCTTTATATTTGACAGGAAAAATATAGCAATATTTGATTTTTATATTTAAAAATAACCAGAAAGCCTTCTGGTTCAGAATTCTCTATACAGTGGAACCCCAGTTAACGAACGTCCTGGTTAACGACCAAATCGGTTAACAAACTTTTATTTTGGAAAAATTTTGTCTCAGATAACGAACTTAACGGCTTTTTGTGTCAAATTTGTAGCTTGCCGACTTTTAGAGAAAATCAGTTAATCGTGTGTCAGTGATGGTCTAGAGTCCATTTGTACGTTGGTGTGGCGGAGGAGACAAAGATGACTAGTATTTTACAGTGAAAATCGTTTATTAGAACGGGAAGATGCTTACATATTTGAGGTAGTTGGAAATGGCTTATCTACAGTATTTTCTCTCGGCACTGCGGAGTGGCGTATCGCTGGTCCTACGATAGTGCAAAGCTGATCAGTCGTAGTCCCAGAGCGGACGAGATGGGTTCGCTTGATCACAGAAGCGATGGCAGGTGACAGAGCTGCCACAACTGGAGCGGTCCGCGAGACACAACACAAATTTTAACGGGCACGACTTCAGGCTTAATCCAGATGAAGATGACACAGATTAATCGCCATAGAATTTTTAGGAAAACTGCGTTTTGACCTTGAGATTCGGGGTTTTTATAGTATTTCTTCCTTGAATCTCACCTTACGATTAGTCCTGCGTCCCATTCCTCGCTTCCCGATTGTTTTCTTCTTTGTCTCCAGGTGAAAACCGAAACCAGATCAGGTCACGAGAAAGGTTTGTTCCGAAGCGTTTATTTGACACCTGTTCGTCAACTCTGATCAGAGATTGTTGATAAACCTATAAGCCTTTCGCTCATAATTCAGCCTATTGTTTCTGCTATCTGTCATTTTAGAACTTTAACGACCGTATGTGATGTTTTTATACCCGTCAAATCTTTCCCCTTTTCCGAAAATTTAACCTAGGTCGACTGTTTATGAGCATGTTTTCCTATATTTTCATTAAAGAAAATCCATTTTACAAATAAAATTACAAAAATACTGACGTCTAGAACGGATTAATTGTATTTGCATTAATTTCTATGGGAAATTAATGCAAATACAATTTGCCAACACATATAGAAATTCCACTGTATTCCATAAAATTAATTTCTATGGGAAATTAATGCAAATACAAGAATCCAACACATATAGAAATTCCACTGTATTCCATAAAACATCAAATTCTTTATATCTGTAATTAAAATTATGCAATCATTTAACTGTTGTTATAGTACTGTCAATGTAATTACACAATTACATTTAAAAACACTATGCTCTAATTTATTTACAAAAAAATAAATAAATAAATGGGGCTAAGACCAAAAGAATAAAAATTAAATTTTGATTAATGTTGAGATAAATGTAAACTATATATATCTAAAATGTTAGTAAGAAAGTGATTAAAGTAGACAGACATTAGCAGAAAGTGATCCTAGCTTGAGCTATAATGATGCAGCAATCATTTTAACCATTTGCATAAATCTTTATTTTCACCAAAGAGAAAGTTTAGATGTGCACAGAACTGAAAAGCTAATATTTTAGTTATTTCTGTGATATCTGCAATACTACTTGCTGAAAATTATGCATTGTAAAACAACTTAACAGTTTTTAGTACAATAACTGCATTTTTATAAGTCAATATTTTAACCACTATTCTATAAAAACATTGTTAATGAAAATGTGCCACTTAAACAAATTTATTTGAAAATACATTGCAGATTACCCAGTATTGAATGAACTACAGTATATGAAACCCACATAAAAAATTGAATTAGTTAAGTACATGAATGTAGTGGAACTTCTTTCATTTATATCTGTAATTAATTACCTGTAGAAGGTTGACTGAAAAATAAATTAATTAATTAAAATGATGAGTAGCAAGTGCATCAAGACTAAGTAAGCAAAAAGAATGAAAGCGAATGAGAAAAGGAAAAAATATTCAGATTATGAAAATGATATCTTAGAATGAATTACAGTAAACAAGAGAAAAATAACTGACTAGTTAAAGTGTCTTAAAACTTTCATTTTATCATTATTAATTGAAAAAACTAGCTCTTGAAGAATTTGAAGAAGAAAAATTTCTTTAGTATGTTTTCTATATTTCTGACTGTTTTTATTTTGTATTTTATATCAATACCTTATATGTATTTTTATACTTCACATTTTCATAAAATCTTTCAAGGCAAAGAGATTTAAAACCACTTTTTATGAGATAGGTAATGTCAAGGATTTTTGTGTAAAAAAAAAATGCTTGACTGTTTTTTACACAAAAACAAAACAATAAAAAATAAAACTACTCTAACCACATTTAAAACATTCCTAAAACACACAGCCTATCATTTGTATAAATATATAAAATTAAAATTTTACATAAAATTTGAAATATCCAACTAACTGAAGTCATTTTTATCAAAATTATGTAACATTTTCTTTTTTAAATCCTCTTAAATAACTATTCAGATAAAATACCACCAAAGTGAAATTAACATATTGAATTATACTCAAATTTTTTAATGCTACAAAATCTTTGATAACTTTTGTATATTTTAATTGTCTTACCTAAATATTGTAAATGTACACGAATTTGATGAGTTCTTCCAGTCAGAGGTTTGCCTAAAAATAATTTTTTAAGTATTTTATAAGTTTTATAAATGCTTTTATTTATTAGACAAAATAATTATTCATAAAATATTTTTCCACATTTATTTTTTAACTTAGAAACCATTAAACATAATGAAAAATTCTATAGTTTATTAATTAGTACAAATAAAATGTATGTATGAGTAATGCTATGAAAGTAATATAACATACTCAATTTCTACAGCCAAATTTAGTTAGAAGAAATACATACTGTAGTTTTTAAATGTCTTTCATTATAGAGTTGCAAAGTTTTCTAGTAGACAACAGTGAAGTAGGAGTCTTTGAAAATGGCAATTGTGAGTGTTATGTATTCTAAACATAGTAGTAGTAGTAGTAGTAGTAATTGTTGAGCAGAAAAGCATTTTAAGCATTTTTATTCTCACAAAAGATGTGACAAAAATGATTTTTAACCATAAAAATATGAATCCAACACAGTTCAGTCTGGAAAAACCATCACAAAACTTCAGTAGACCATCCTACTTCATCCTCCTTTTTTTATTGGGCTGCAATTTTAAAAAATTATAGACCTATAAATTCCCATTGTCATCCATCCACATGTCTGTACATCCTTCCTTAATCTTGTGAATGGAGTTAGATATATGAAAGTCAAGACCAGATATAGAAAGCGTAGGGGCAGGAGGTCCCGGTTACTATATATGAACTTCTGATGCAAACCAGAAGTCACGTTATATCAATTCAAAACTTTTCCCCTGAAAACAGTTAATACATGACTGTCACAACTCCATTGCTAACAAAAAAGTATGATGTACAAGAGCAAGACACTATAGTACTAATTTGAGGTGGAGAGCATATATTTTAAATGAAATAAATTAAAAATTGCAGCCTGCATTGTGACAATGTCACAGTAAATAATTGCTCATTAGTTTTCATCTTTATTTTCATCAATCATCATAAATGCATTTTGGGAACTCCCAAAAAGCATTTATGATGATTGATGAAAATAAAGATGAAAAAAAAAAAAAGCATTGGAGGGATTAATGTTCCATATAGAGATAGACAACATTTCCAAATTAAAGAGATAATTGTGATAGGTATGTGTAGAATAATACCACAAAAATATACAAGTTCTCACATCTTAGTAGCATTAGGATTGTGACATTCTTTCACAGAAAGATTTGTGTTGATAAATATTTTGTGATGGCCAAAGATTCATATAATACTGGAATATGACATAGGTAAGTTAAAAAAAAAATCTTAATAAGAATCTAGTTGCATTACTCTTGTATATTATTGTAGAATAAAACTGTACACTTATAACTCTGCATTTACTTTTTAAAAAGTATTAATGTTTAAATTTGAATTAACATATACACTGTGTATAAGAAGAAACACATTAATTAAAATTGATTCTTTCTCACATTTTAATTATTTTTCAATACTTATAAAAAATATAATCATTACAACTTTTGCAAATAGGATATTTTTTAAACTTACATAAAACAACACTTGATTTTCCATTGAAACTGAGTTTTACAAATTTCGTTAAACATTTCTTTCCATTAGGATCTACGAGACATATTCCAGCATTTCGATACATTAATATCGGTTCTTTACATATTGTTTCTCCTCTTAAAATAAAAGAGTATATTTTAAATTAATATAAAAAGCAACATATTTTTAACAGAATAATCATAACAACAATCAGTCATAATCAATAACATATATAATGAAAACTTACAGTACCCATGATAGAAGTGACTAAAAATATCTCCATATAAATACAGGATGTCCCTAAAGTAACTATCTCTTTTTTCTAAAACATATTAAATTAGAAAGAATATGTTAATAACTCAATTATATGTATATTTCTTTACAAAATTCAATAATTAAATTCCTGTTTAAACTGCTTTTTAACTTTTTAATTAATTTTATTTTCAAACTTGCATTACTCCAGAATATTCAATAATGTGTTATGATCTTAAAAGAATAGAATTTATTATTATTAGTGAAATTTGTAAGATTTGAAATATCACAAGGAAAGCAGTTTACAAAATAATCTCTGAAATATTTAGAAATATTTTTTCCATGCAAATGACATTCAAATTTTTGCAAAGATGCTGATGGAGCATATGCAGAAACCATTAATTATAATTTTGAGTTGTATGTAGGGAATTCAATCCCGGTCCTTATTTCTAATCCCGGGATTTCGGGATTATACTTATTCGATCCCGGGATTATTTCGGTATTGAGGGTTAATAAAAAATAAGAAAATCTTACAGAAATTAAAAATCAAAATTTAGACAAAAATCAACGTATTTTACGGTATACACCTAGTTAATTTAATCACTCTAATTAATCAGACTTACAGTCAGACTAACCAGACTTAAAATCACTGTCTTCATGTTAAATTTATTCTTTTTTAAGCATCACTGAGATCTCTTTAAACTCACATAAATTGAAAAAACTTTTATGTAACAAACTATGCAAATAAACGTTGAAAATTCACAAAAATCTCTCTTAACATCGACTAAATAGACTACTTTCATATAACAACCTAGTAAGTAGGTAGTAAAGTAAGTTTCTTAGCAAAAAGTATTTAAAAATAATATTAATCAGTCACATTTTTCTTAAATATAAAGAAAACTAATCTAATAGGAACATTCTAATTTGAATTGCGAAAATATGATCTGAGAAATAACAACGCATCCAGTGTCTCATCACCAAGTCTGCTTCTCAATTTGTTGCACATATATGCAGCTGCTGAGAAAACGCGTTTAGGTTTGATGGAAGTTGGAGGAATCGTTAGTAAATACTTATAAGCTTCGAGGACACGGGGAGGATGGAAGAAAACAGTCCGGTCGACACGGATCGGGATTGTAGGAGTAAAGGCTACAATCCCGATTGTTTCGATCATTGTAAGCATGTCTTTCTAAAAATAAACGCGTTAATTTTGTAAATTCGGTCTCTGTGTGAGTCTCTCAGCGTCCAGCAAACCACTACCCCGAAACGTAAAAAGACTTTCTCGCATCATCCTGACAGATCGCGGGCAAGGCGAGGGTCGTAACCTTTTCACCTAAGGTCGACCCCCCTAAGCGAGAGGCGTCGGGTCTATATTAACTACACTGGCAAAACAAGATGGCTGACACATTGACAGGTAAAACGCACTGAGTAGTGCTCTCGACTGCGCCAGAAAATCGATTGGCGCCCGCGAAAATTCAAAAATACAAAAATGAAGTATATTACCAAGTAACCCAGTGAGAACTGCTTGCCTATCATTTTAGTTGAAAATACAAGAAGTTTTATTCCAAGCAAGCATCGCAAGCCCGCTAGGTTAATTTCTGCTGCTTGCTTGGAATAAAATTTCTTGTATTTTATATTAAAATGATAGGCAAGCAATTCTGTTAAAAGCACTGGCACTGAACGTTTCGCTTCATGCAGTCTATTTTGCAATTTTTTTTAAAATGATGTCAATCCCGAAAATCCCGGGATTAGGAAAACTTAATCCCGAAAATTTTGGGACTGAAAAGTGGTCGAGATCCCGGGATCCCGGGATCAAATCCTCTAGTTGTATGTTTATATTTTGATTTAATACTTTTATTTTGTAAAGAAATATACATATAAATGAATCATTAAGACATTTTTTCAAATTTAATTTATTTCATCATGTGAGGTCATGTGATCTAAGTCATAACTATATATTGAAGCAAAAAAATAATCTTGAAAAAATTTTAATATTTCAATTGAAAGTGGATAACTGGATAGTTTGAACAAAAGGGGCCATGTATATGCATAAATGAGTTCTGGACAAAGAAGAATGCATTCTTACATAGTAAAATTGCTTACTGAGAAAGACATCCTTACAATATCTGTTGTGTTTAACACAACAGATATTTTGCACAAACAATCAATGATGCTTTTCTAATTTTGCACAATTAATAAATGATGCTTTTCTAGATCCCAGCAAAAAGTATGAACGGGAGTCTCATTTTCCTAGATGACAACTGAGTCAGTCGTCATCTAGAAGAATGAGACTCTGTATATAAAAGCAATATGCTGTAAAGTTTGACAAGGGTCTCAAAGACAGTCTGTCAAGAGGAAGAGAGATATACCTTGAAGGATTTTCAGCAATGTTGAAAGAGTTGGCAGTAATGGAGAGCACAACAACCAAGAAAAACATGTATCAGGCCAGAAAGAAAACTGAACAAGACAGCCTGGGTCTTTCATAACTGGACAAAAAGGATGCCCTGGTGACACAGGTTTTTATCAATTTGGCCCCTTGATCTCTCATTCTAATTGTTTTTCTTAGGACAGATAGCATGTATACTTTAACAGTTATTGTTGTAAAGTTTGAAGTTATTCATAAATTTAACAGGATGTAAGCAATTCAATAAAAAAAAAAAAAATACATTTCTTTACAAAATTATTAAAGAAGTGATGTTAAGGAACGTGCTAAGACATCTGACATCTGCAGGACTCCCATAACAAGATAGTTACTTTAAGGCAATAGTAAAAAAAATTATTTTTATTATGAATATTATATAATACTTAGGGCCAATAATAAGCCAACTGTGAACATGCTAGAACATAAGATAACCTTGAATAAAATACTAAATAATTTACAAGCAATATCAATTAGATCCATCCAATGAGCAAAGCAATAATAAATATAAATATGTCGCGCTAACCTTATATAGCTTTGCAGATAATACTTAGAACGTAACACTAATGCTTTTGACCCATTTCTAGGGTCTTCTTCAGGTGTTACATCCCTGACCAAGAAGTTGAAATTGAACAGTGTGGTTGTCGTCTCACCACACAACCCTAAATTATTTGCATTCACAAAAACACATAAACCAATGCCTTCACTTAGACCCATAGTAGATAAAGCAAGATCACCTACTCTACTGTTAGAAAATGCTGTACACAACCTAGCATCAGAATATTTGAAAGGTTATACATTAACTATCAAGAATTGCACCAATCTGATAGATATCATACAGCAGGTAAATTTAATAGATAGAGTGAATACTACAATATTTGATTTCATTTCCTTATATTCCTTGGTAAAGCTGCAACTGTGCTTCTGTGCTCTTAGGGATCTTTTGCTGTAGAAAGTTGATGTACCTGCTCACTGAAAACAAATCTTAAAACTTGCACACCTGATATGTTATACCTCTGTATGCCAATTTAATAACAGCACATATTTACAAAAATAGGGAGTGCCCAAGTTATGCAAGTTGGTTGTGCATCTGTTGGAAAAAAAAGTCATATCTGAATTCATATCAAACATTGTTGTATATATTGTTGACAACCTGTTTGTTCTTTGGAGAACTGAGTTGGTTGTAGACTGTTTCTTACAATGCATAAATGATAACCCATATAGACTAACCCTTAAATTAGATCAGACAAATAATACCAGCACTCACTGCTTAGATATTGCCTTTCATTTCAACAAGAACTGCATAGAAACTGGAATCTGTTACAAACCTGGCTATCTACCATTATTTATTCTGGCAAACTCAACTGATCCATTTTCATATAAGGTGGCTGCCTTCCATGCACTGACAAGATGGGTCTTCACACATCATACAAATTGGGAAGACACTTTAAAAGAGCTAAAACATCTGGAGGACATAGCTATAAAGCAAGGTTATAGAAGGGACTTAATACATAATTTAGCTTGTGCCTACTCCAGCCAACATTCCTTATGCAACAATTCCAACAACTAAGGAGTTTCCAACAGAGGTCAAACATGAAAAAAACTTCATGTGCATATCTTGTCATATCTGAATTAAGAACTCTCTTGTATGGATATGGCATACAGCCAAATCCGTATCCACACAAGAGAGTTCTTATAGTGTATAAATTACTACAGAATGGAAAGAACAAGACCAATAAATGTAGGGCCTCAGGGGTGTACAATGTTCCAGGGACAACAGATTCCAAAGAGATATGGTATACATTGAGTCCACTAAGCACTCCACACACACAAGGTTGCAGGAACATCATTACAACATTTTGAATAAAAAGCATACACCACCTTATCCATTTATGCCACTGAGACAGATATGCAAGCCAATCTCCAGAATGCCATGTTAATTAAGCAATCATTTTAAACTGATCACATCAGGGCCCTAGAAGCCTTGGAAAACCAATCTGACTAGCAATAGTATTAACTTTAAAGACGGAAAATTTGTCTCATATGCTTGGCAATGCTTTTACGAAAAATCAGGAATTGCCAATATAAGTTAATAATCATTATTTTTATTTTGTATTATTTTATTCCTTATATTTATATCTTCTTTAATTTTATATTTATAACTGATTAATTTGTTGTTATTTTACAACATTATGTTATTGTTCTAATTATTTAAAAATATATTTTAAAAAATTTTTGTTCTACACATTCCAATTTTGGCTGAGGCAAATGTTGATTAAGGTCAAAAGTTTGTCAGAAAATTTTTACATTAAAAATTTTTGTTACTGGAAGTTAAAGGTTACTTAAATGTGTTTATAAATATATCTATTATGTTTTAAGGCAATTTTATTTTAACAATATTTTAAGAACTTACTCCATAAAATTTCCTTCTACTCGACAAAGATATTCCTTTTGAACTTGTCTGTCTCTCATCTGATTTATTATATTTTTTGCAGTTGCTTGATTCAATCCAAATATTAATAATCCAGATGTTAAACGATCTAATCGATGAACAGCTGCAGAAAAAATTTGTAACACATATTTAATCCTTAGTTATATATAAATTAAAAATGTTATAAGATAAAAAAATTAAAAATAAATTTTCCGAAAGTTTTATGTAAAATATAAATATAAAAACACAAAATTTTATATATATATATCGAAACAACAAAATCATTTAAGTGCTAGTTCCGCTAAGGCGGAACTAGCACTTAAATGATTTTGTTAAATGATTTTGTTGTTTCGATTGTATCATTGCCATTGCTGAAAACGTTGATTCACATAAGTATGTTGTTGAAAAAGGTAGTAACATCCTAACTGCCTTTTCACGTAAAACTGTATATTCAGTTTTAACTTTAATCCAAAACTGTGTTATGGGCAGTGATTCAAACAATGTTTTTAATCCCAAGTCTGAACTTAATTCGATTAGTTTTTCCTGTTCAAAGTTGTTCAATCTATTAGTTTGCTGATCAATAAACGGATTAATAATCCACATATTTCCTATTCGGCAACAAAGCAGGACAGGTTAAATATATATTTTTAAAGTTTTCGCAGACTGGTCAGATTAGAGTTGTGGACTAGCGGTTGAGAAACACAGATTTAGACTGTTAAAAGGGAAATCGGTGTTCACACTGTAATATTTTAAAGCAAGTTTTTGTCATTTCTTGTGTTAATAATTTACAGTAAATTGATTAACATACACCATTTTATAATGAAAGTTAGATATACCCCTTTGATTTACGCTCATACCCCTACGGTTACATGTACCCCCGGTTGAGAACCACTGCACTATATCATCACTCAGAGGAGTAGCACATGTGGAGTCGAAAGTATTACACTGTGAAAACTATATAAGTATTTGGTTTTTGACATCTAACAACTTACAAGTTAGAAATTTTCATTTTTGAATAGTACTTTCTTAATTCTAATAAATTTTCTATAAATCTCACTATTTACAAAGACATACTTCCCATATAGTTTATAGGCATACTGATAATGTTCTTACAATGGATCATGTGCAGGCCATTACAATCTATCTAACATGGATCACTTTTTAAATATTAATGTATTCTGAAGACTTCTGAAAAACGTCTTTACATTTCCAGATTATACAGTGAAAAGTGTCGTTTTACTTTCCCAGCTGTTTATGTTGCAGCAGGATTGTTAATTTAGCTGCTTTACAAAGTGTCTAACCATTTGATTAAATGGCACTGTTTTGTAATAAAGCTACCATTCAGCCACCTTACAAAGAGGCTAAACCAAACTGCTGGATTGAATAAAATTTCACATTTATAATATGGCTGGCTAAATAATTAGCCACTTTACAATGCAGCATTAGATAAACCACAAGATTGTTCTGTTTACTTTCAATCCTTACCACTTGAGCACTAAGTAATGTTGCCAGATTGCCAAAATGGGTTACTCTTATTTTAGTTTGATGTAAAAAAATCATCTGGCATATTGCCTACTTTCTGGGCTACAAAAATTTCACTTGGTTACATAAATTATTTCATCATTTGTTTTGGTTTAGAACAGATCTGTGTTCAGTAATGCAGAACACCTAAGTCAGAATTCTGATGGCTTAGTGGGTGGAGCTAAGAATGTTCTGAGCATCACTGAACAATTATTTATAGTTAGACAACTAGGCAAAATGTGGACAAAGTTAAAATTATAATCGCAACAACTGTCACAAAAGAACTGGTCAAAAAGGATGAAGTAACCAATAAATTATTCAAAATGAAAGCTGCTTCAGATTGTGATGAAATTAATAAAGCAATTATTAACTGTAATTAACGAAATGGACTGCTATCTTCCGTTAAAATGTATTCAAAATCAGTTATAACGACGTATGATAATTTTTACATTTTGAAGTCATTTTAGAATGAGTTAATGATTTAGAATGAGAGAATAACTTTGTGATTCTTATAATAAAATACGTTTAGTCCAACACAAGCAGCCATCTTGCAAATTGTACGACGAGACAAAAACAATAACGTCAACTAGTACAAGTTAGCGTAGATAAAAGAAGCTGACTGAACTAGCTAGAATTCTAGTGGTGGGAGGAGTTGAGCAGTAGTTAGAAACGAGTTCAACATCGCAGCATAACTAGACTTAGCAAGAATTCTGCATTACTGAACACGGCCCAACAATACCTATCTCTATTCATGTCACCTTTAGACTTAATTTTGTAGTAAAATGGGGAAATGGACAAAGTATTCCCAGATATAAAGAAATCTCTTAGTCAACATTCAAATAAAATAATTGTGGTTGATAAGTCATTTTACTAATAGTAGCTATTAAGATTATTACATAAGAAAATTAAGTTTTATAGTTTGTGTTGCAAGATCATTTTTTGCATAATTTGTTACATTCTTTGCTTATAAAATGACTGTGTTCTCAACATAGTAGTGAATTACATTTTATGCATGTATTTTGAATCTTTCACTTGCTATTTTCGAAATAATTTGCAGGCCTGCTTCAGGGCTGTAAATTGAGCCCAAATCATTTGCTCTGTCATTTCAGTTTTTGCTAGAAAAGTATAAAAGGTGTCATTTTGTGATTTTATCATTAAATATCAGGTTATTTATAAAAAAAAAGTGAATCTTTTTTTGAGTTGACTACTTTGGGCTACTCATTAGAAAATTTTTTGCTACAAAAGTTAAAAACATCTGGCAATGTTGGCTCCAGGAGACATTCACGAACATGGCATTGTCTAACATGTCTGTTCCAATAGAAACATTGATATTACAACAAATAATGAAAGTGTGCAAAATGTGTCTGAATATAGTGGATTTAAAGATAATTTCAACAAATAACTAATGGAATTCTATGCAAAGCAGCATGGAAATTTGAAGAAACCTTGAATTAGGGAAAGAATTCTTGAGGTTATCAGATGTACAAAAATGGTAAGATAGATTCCATAGATATAGATTCTGGTGCACAGTTGACGTCTATCAAATAGTATTGGTGTTCCAAGTATGATGTCATAAATAAAGTCAAAGAAGATTATATTTTAAAGAAAAAGTCACCTAAAGATCCTATGATATGTATCATACTTACTGAACAGTATTTTGATGTATTGACAGAGACTCATAAATCCAGTAGATTAGTGGTCTTGACAAAATGCTACACAGTATTAAAAACATATTTTATATACAAAAAAAGCAGTTGAAATATTTGTTGCTTTATGTCTTACCTGCAAAACCAAATGCAATATACCTAAAAAAAGTATTGTGATCTGACCAATAGTTTCTAAAGATTTTATTGTATGTGGGAAAGTCAATTTAATTGATTTACAGTCAGCTCCAGATGGAGATTATAAATGACTGTTAAACTATCAAAATAATGCTACTAAATATTTACATTTTAGATGGCATCTTGCATCTTCCACAGCTATTTCAGATGCATGCTCAAAATGGGCATCTGAAGTAGCTGTGGAACTGTTAAAAATGTTTTTTACAGTTTGGAGCTCTATATATCCTACAGAATGACAATGACCAGGAGTTCACTGCAAAAATCCTCAAAGAATTTGTAAATATGTGGCTAGAATGTAAAATTGTGTATGGCAGTCCCAGACGTCCACAAACACAAGGTAGTATAGAACACAATAATTAAGATGTTAAAAATATGCTTAGATCTTAGATGCATGACAATAATTCAACAAAATGGTTGACTGGGTGCTATTTTGTGTGATATCAAAAAAATGTATCATATCATCGAGTCATTGACAGATCACCTTATCAAGCCTTGTTTGGTAGTTTATAAATTTCTGATATTCCTGACAGTGTTCTTTCATCTATTGAAACTGAGGAGCTAGAGAACCTTGCCAACACTGATCAAAATGTCATAAAAGATATTGAAAACATTCAATATGATATATCACAATGGACATCGCACAGTTCTGATAATTTTATTAGTGAAGATATCATTTCTAACACAATAAACACAGAAAATAATGAAAATTTATCACATGATTAACCTGTCCAATGTGTCAAAATGAAACCAATGGAGCTCATCAGTGTAGTTCCCATGTTAAACCTGTTCTTGCTATTTGCAGAGTGTCTGAAAGCAATGAAGGTTATGGATCAAAGATAATCTGTTTTTTATGCAAAAGCAAGCATAATATAGAAATTAAAAGAGAAGTGCATACAGGAGTTAAATGGACTGTAGAGGAAACCGTTAACAAAACTGCTAAGAAACTTACACTATTAGATATTGGAAAAAGCATTTTTCATAATATACCAAAAATAGACTGTGACCCTTTAGATACCAAAAATATGAGAAAAGATGTTGATTTCAGAAATGGTGTTTACAAGGTAAAGGCTAAATCTGGAATAAATGAAAATTGGTTCGGTCATTACAAATTACAAGAGTCATGGAATTGTGAGAACTGGGGGTAGAGAGCCAAACTCTAATCCCCTCTTAATGGCGACAGGATGGTAGATCCTGTTCACGGTATTGATGGATGGCTTGAATGGTTAGCGAGGTCGTTAATAAGATGTCTGTGATACACAAGTAATCAACCATTTAAACAGACTGAACAAGTTTAATAAAAACAAAAAGGTGATTACAACTAAAGGAAAAACACAAGCTGTAGTCGGTTGACAAAGAACCGAGATAGAAATAGAACAATGGAGATTTCATTCCCTAGCGTGGTTAAACTATCTTAAAGTCTATTTCGCTCGAGAGACAGAGTTTACATAAAGTCAATAAACACGATACCTCAATAGGTGTCTCTGGGCAGCAAAATGTAGAGATTGCGATCGAGGCAGAAGACAGGAACAAGGTCCAGTAGGGGTTGGTGGGTCTTGGTGCTCACCCTGTATGTCCACATGGGTATGGTGAGTATGGAAATGTCCACCTTGTATGTTCTCCTGGGGAATGTCCACTCGGGCTGGTCTCTGAATATGGTGGGGCTGGCTGTAGTCTTCATGGTGTCACGGGATGTCTATCTTGATATGGCCTCCGCTGATGTTTGCCCTGATGATTGAGTGTGACCCTTTTTATATAGGTGTCGCATGAGAACTGTCTCAGGATATCATGATTTAATGGGGTTTAAGTTCAAGTTGGATCCGGATTCTGCTGACACAGGACGTCACAGATTGGACAGCTTGATTGAATTGTTGATACTTTCCCTTGGTGTTAAGACTATCCTTACTTAACTTATTCAATTTGACAGGTTTCCACTATTAATAATCATATGTTTGGACTGTGGTTTCAAGTAAGTCCCAACATTCTACAGACTGTTGATAGGAATGTCTAGGTGAATGCTGTCACAAGCGGGTGAGGAGAAAGGGGGAAAAAAGGAAAGGGGTGTTTTCTTCTCCATCCAGTTCTCCTTTTTAACCTTTCCAGTGGTTGATGACTTGACACATAATTAGCATAATTGCTTTTGCTAATTAACCAAAAGAAGACCAGGAGGAAAGTGGAAATGGAAAACAAGGGGAACAAAGTCTCACAGAATGATTATAATGATGAAATACCAGAATGACTGATATCTCTGCGAGAAGCCATGAATAACCAATCATTATTTGGTGGTCAAGCATTTAAAAATGCTCATACAAAATGCAAAAAAATCAGTGTTACATTAATGGATGTGTATATTTTAAGAAGAAGGTTCTTTGCAAATCTAAATGTCATTCTAGTTTATCTTGTATTAATAAATAATACATCTATTTGATAAGTTTAATGTTATTTTGTAACTGTTAAAGAAATTTAAGAGTTTTATGCAATATATGTTTTTTTACTTCCTAACATTTTTGTCCTAAACTTAGTGAATAATTCACATTTTAGTAAAAAGGCTGAGTTTTCCACCTCTTTACAATACAGCTAAACATAGCCAGCCGCATTGTAAAACATGATATAATGACAATCCAGCTGAATGTTAGCTTTATTACAAAATGACACCATTTAAGCAAACATCTAAATGCTTTGTACAGCGGCTAAATTAACAATCCAGCTGCAACATATACATATCAAGGAAAAGTATTGGAATCATGCCAAATTTCACCCTCAGAGTTTTATGTAAATCTCCATGTTGTGAAACCTCCTGAATCCAAAAAAGTCAAAAAAGGCAGAAAAATTTTATGGATATGTGTATTGGCATCTATTTTGCTTAATATTGCAGGATGGAGTAATGATTAAATAATGAAATTCGACACAGTGGCTTGTATACGAGAAGCACTGATGCTATTAAATTTTGGTGGTTAAAAGTCAAAGGTGTAGGGAGTTAAAGGGGATCATTTGACTTTCCAGTAGGGTCAGACTTAATAACAATTTTACTCATTATTAACATTTATACTATAAAACTCACTCCTACCCTTGAAATTAAGCTTTTTCACATTTCATAGGAAATAAAAATATAAAAATTCTTTATAACAAAAGCTCATAACAGATTTAGTTAGATACAATTAAATTGTATTTTCCAAAAAAATGTTTATTTATTTTTATTTAGATTGTATACTTGTTTATTACAGTCTCAGAACAGTTGTGAAATTAAATTTCTCATACATACTTAATTTTAATTACACAAATATATCTCAATAAGTAAGAACATAAACTAACTAATTTGTCAATTCTCTAACATATATTCAGAAAACCTACTTCATTATACAACAGACTTTTGGCCCTTCAATCCATTAGTCCATTAAATAGAAGTTTTACTGTAATTGTATTAATTTATTACTTAATAAATTAATTATTATTTTACAAGTTATTAAGTTTTTAAAAATAATACAATCAATCTGTGCTTTTTCTTTGATGTATTAAGAAATATTTATTTTAGAAAAACATTTTTTTACTTTATTTCAGTTAATTATTTAATATATTAAGAAGTTTTGGTAAATTTTAAAATTTAGCTTTAAAGTTCTATAGTTGTATATTTTGAGGATACTATATTATGGAATTTGTTCTTAGCAATGAAATATTTGTAAATGAAACTATTATCACCAAGATATTTAGAATTGATTTTTAATTTTATTTTATAAATTTTTAAATTTTTATTTATTTTCTTCTTTGTCATCTATTCTAAATGCTCCTTTAAAAAGTTTCTAAATATCAGATACAAAAAATATGTATTTTTTAATGACTAGCATGATGTGATTTTATATATGACTGAATAAAATTTATCATTAAAAAATATTAAATAAAACTTACTGTAAAGATTCTCCAAATTATTTTCTCTAGCAAGAATAAATAGTGCAGAATTATGTCTGTATCGTCCACAGGGATGTACCTAAGAAAAACACTGTTACATTAAACCTGGAAAACTCCAAGTGGCCAGCCCAGGATGGGGCCACCTTTTTAATTAAATTGCTGAATGGAAATATTAAATTAAAAAGTAATATATATTTTTTATTATTATTAAGAAACTTGATTTATTTTTGTAAGGTTGCCATAGTTACAGCATCAGGATTGGGATTCTTATTTTGGGGGATGCTCTGTATAGTAATTAATTAATTAAAATAAAACTTGAATCAATTAGCATATTTGATTTTAAAATATAATGTAAAAATTTAACTTTTTGTTAAATTTAATGTTTTTGTGTATTAAAATTGAATCCACTTAACAAGTTAAAATACACTTATAAAACTTTGCTTATAACCAATGCTTTGGTTATCACCATCAGTACCTTCAGACAGGAGAGGTTTAACTTGCATCTGAGGCAAAACAAATTTTTCCATCTTTGCTGCTAGAATGGGTTCCACTAGCTAGGGCCATTAAAAGGGAAAGCCAGGGATTTTACCCAGAGCATAGAGAAAACTTAGGGATTCTTAGTAGCTTCTCCAATAAAATTATGGAAATTTATGAAATAGTTTTCTGATAAATGCCAAATTTGCCATTTACAAACAGTAATGTAACATCATTTGTCAAATTGTATGATATTAAATGAATAGACCAATAGACAAATTTTAATTTCTGCAAATACAGATTATATGATTGGTACAACTGGCAACTCTATGTGATACTATTACTTTAATTAGAAACAATTGACCTTCATCTATCAAAACAACAATAATAATTTCTGTATTAATCTTACTGAAGAATAATCTCATATTTATATTTTAAGATAATTATCTACAAATAAAATATTTCCTGAATGAATTAGAAAAAATTAAAGTAAACTCTACAAAATCTTTAAAAAGAAAATTATTAGAATAAACAATATAATTTATATTGTTATACAAAAAAATACAATGAAAATACAAGTTGTTCACACATTCAAATTAAAAAATAATTATAAATATAAAGATACAGTAGAACCACGATTATCCGGACTAATTGGGGATGAAGGTAGTCCGGATAAAGAAAAATCCAGATAATAGAAACAAATACTTTAATTTGTCTTTTCATGATAATACAACACGTTTTCTTTTCAATGATATATCGGCAATATTAAAAGTAAATACTGTATTTAAATCGTGATCAAATTTTCAAGAAACAAACATTCGTATTGAATTTGGACTACTTCTGACCAACGCTACCAGACTACCTATTGTTTAAAAGGCCCTCTGGTAGCACAAGAAAACGGATTTTATAAAATAAAAAGCAGTTGAAACTGCATTTTTATGAATAAAAATTTGACAAACTATTTATTGTTTTATGACGAGTAAAATTTTTTCGTCGCGTTCACGGCTTTTAAGTAATGCATAAACCTTCGAGGCGCGAGGCTCTTCGGACCGCGAGGCATAGGCGGTGGCCCACGTCG